TCCTCTTCGCGCGCGGTGGTGGGCCGTGTTAAAAAAGGGGGGGGGGGGGAGGGGAAAGGGGGGGGGGGGGGGGGAAAAGGGGGGGGGGGGGGGGGGGGGGAGAATGACACACGAACGTATGGAATTTGTGTTCTTGCTTTGCACCCAAATGTATTTGAGATGGATTCATTTTCTCGTTTAATTAACTTTCTCTCGTTTAACCCACACATTCGCATAGCTTCACGAACAAATACTGAAAAAGCGGAAAAAACGCGACGAGCTACTCTCTAGTGACGAGTCGGAAATGTCAAGCGAAGGTGATGAAGGTGGGAGTGCTAATCAAGCTCCCAGAGCAGCTGCGCCTGCGGCCAAGAAACTGCGAGATGGTAGAGGCGATGGGTTGTTTGGTTCTGCCGCGTGGAGGGATAGGATGAAAAAGGAGAAAGAAAAGGAGCGTCTTGGAAAAGGCGTTGGCGGCGGGGGAGGAAAATAGTGGAAACCGTAGTGGTGGTTGGCGTATTCGAGGGGTTTGATAGCTTATTCCATAAACTCTGTATAACACGTGACACTGACTTATTGCAGTTCCCACGTAGAAGCAATGTACGTGCCAGTGTTCAAATATTACAATGATTTTGAACTGGTCTTCTCGTCCGCATCTTTTCCATACTTTTGTATTTCCTTATTCCATCTCCTTGTGTGATCAGCCTTCGCGTATGGGGCCGAATCGCAATCACAATCATCTTCCTTAAGACGTATAAAGTGCTGTCAACTGGGACAAAAGTGAGACCACGGTACTCTAAATGGAATGCTCTTTCATTCCAGCCGCTATCCACGCAAAGATAATACGTTCGTGAAATGTGTACGCCACAATAAATTCGCCTATTCAAAACTTTTAATATTAAACAATGAATTGGTTCATGATAACGGATTTTGCCTTTGCCGGGTTTATTATAAATTCGAATTATTTGAAAATAAGATCCGTCTACACAATAGTTGCGATATCAGATTGATTAAAGATGTTTATTTGATTCAAACGTTGTGGACAATTTTTGTAAATTACATGACAATCTTTAACGCGAAAAACCCAACAGTTTTCTTATTGATCTTCTCAAAGTTTATGGCCTAAATTGTGTCGTAGAACGCCTCTCATCTGATCACGGCATGGCATGGCATCGACAAACGCTTCGTCCTAACATATTGCTCGACAAACTTCTTAAACAATCACTACCCAATTTCAAAGACCTCACCTCTCCTCTCAAAGTAGCCGGCATTCGTCCTAATAATCCCCGACATTATCACCAAACTTTAGAAAGTTTCCTGCAACGAACCGTTCGATTGCTACCTCAAAGACAACGTTCTGTCTCGATTTCATTATTCTAAATCCGATCGCATTGCTCCGATAGCATGTGTCCGACATTCGAGCAGCACAGGGACAAGGAACGAATCTCGAAACGTTGAGTACAATATTATGGATTTGGCACCGGCAGCGAATAACGGAACTGTTGGGAGTATTATTGGCTAAGAAATGTGATGTGTTCTTGGATGCATACCAATGACTAAATATACACAAAAGATAAAATGATTTATTGTCCAAAATTTAACAACGCTTAAGTATTGTTCGGTCTCGTCAATTAACCGTTTGTTCAACGATCTTTTTCTTCTAACGTTTATCGGAAATATGATTGGGAATTCGGATTGAATTGAAGACTATTGCTCACTTTCGAAACAACGCTAGAAATTATCACTACATCACTCGATAATAGAGCCTCTTTCTTCTCTTCATCTAATGGCTGTTTATAACACTAAATCTCTATTTCTAATACTTAAAAAAATTCGTTCTTGTCGTGTACCGCCCATCGCCCTCACTGGCCAAAAATTAACCTGCATATTTTCTTTTAATCATGTGCAATGTAACCACTTGAAAAAAATTCTCACCTCAAACTATGTCGTTAATATCAAGGGTTGTTAATAATCCGGCAATTGACGACTTGGTTCAATCGTCCTTGGAAAGTCTCCTGACTGCCCCTCCCTACATTCTTACTCTTCCAATTGACACTCTTTTAAATCCCATCCCCAAACATCGCC